AAGCGTGGAGACCAGCCAAGCAGTCACACGGGACCTCTGTCCTTCTCTAGCAATGCTGATGGACCTCAAGGGTGGGATTCACCTGACAGCAATGCAAACGTCTACATGCAGCTGGTTGTTTGAAATCCCTTCACAGTCAGTGCAGAGGGAGGGGCGATGTAGGGATGACAGGCCTCCTGCGGGTGCTCTTGTAGGCTAGTCACTCCTGAGAGGTGTCCATTGCCCTTTCACCAGCGAGTAAGGGAGAGCTACTGCAGGTGCAGACACCTGCCCTGTAGGCCTCTGAAGGGAAGGGACATAAGTCTCACCCATAAACCTCACGTTCATTTAGAGGAGGCTGCATCCCACCTTTGCCACAGCAGCTCTGCAGAAGGTCTTCCTCTTGTCTTTTACAACAAAGCCAGTCTTCTGGCAGATTTGCCTTCAAAAATGGAAGTTCTCTCAAGTGCTGTTAGGTAACACAGTGCATTTTGGCTGTTACAGATCATTCTACCACACTGCTTGCAAGGGATCTGAGATTTCAGAGAAGTTTGTGAATCAGCTCCTACACTTCTCTTTGTTTGCAGTTCTTAACATGAAACTAACCTGATGAAAGAGGGGAGCAAAGAGGACAGATGGCTAGGGTGAAGGGCAGATGAGGATAGCCAGTTTATTTGTGTGTAATACATACCAGGAGAAACTTCTAGATGATTTAGAAATGACCAGCTGTGCAGAGAAAGAGTTTATCTAAGCAATCTATAACCTTAATATGTTGTATCTATATTATCCTCCTTCCTCATGCGGGTCATGCTCCCTCACTGGTTTTAAACTTCACATTGGAAACTGGTAGGGACATGCCTTGCCTCCACGCCCCCATCTGGCTTGTTTGACCACTGCCTAAAACACGAGTGCTGCTTCTGACTGGCTCTGAGTCACCACCATAGACAGGCAAGGAATTAATTCAGAGTAAACAGTAACTTTAAAAAGGTCTCCTTCCAAGGTACTTTTCTAACAAATGTTATCTATACTGCCCTCTATAACCTAAAAGTCATTTTAAAAATCTGACTGAGCTCAGGTTGTGGTACTTTTTCCTCCTGATACTGTAACTTCTTCACCAAAATGCTGCCATTTTGTCTTTCTCCTTGTACTGGGGCTTGTAGGCTAAGCCACCTCAAAGAGGAAGAAAAGCTGCAAGAAAACATGCAATAGGTAAGTTACTGAAGGTATAGGACATTATTACTTGAAGAACTAATGTTTCTCTCCATGTCACTGAAAACCTGCAGATGACTACGTGGTGTTGAAAACTGGAAAATTCTTCTAATAATTAATTCCATGTCTCCAACCACAGGAACCCACAGAAGGGTCCAGCAAGCAATAGTGAATAACTATTAGTGATATGTGGACTGCTGTTCTCTGAATTCTGCCAAGCAACTGAAAATATCCAGTATTTTGGTTATTGTGGAATTAGTATCCTTGCAGTTTTCCCATAGGAAGTTCACCTCTGGGAGGTAGAAATGTGTCTTGTCCTAAAAGGACAACAGAGAGAGAGGATACATGGGAGTTAACCGAGCCCAAAATTCTTCCATGAAGAGCTTTTCTTCCACGAAGTAGGATCAACTCACAACAGCACAAGGGACAAATGGCACCAAAAGATGGATTTCAACATCTTTCTATTTATGGAGATGAACAAACAAAATCTGGAAAAATACAGTAGATGGCTGTAGGATTGGCAGGGCACAGGAAAATATTGCTTGGTGAGGTACCTCATTATCGTCCAGTGATTGCCTGTGGCTTCTCGTGGCTACTGCGTTTGAGGGAACCAACCCATCTGCTGGTGGCCAGAGCAGGCACTGTGAACCGGAGCGGAGCAGAAGCTGACGGGAGGCCACGAGCTACCCAGGCACCACCTGCCCAGGAGGACGGGTCCTCTTCCCCCTCTGCAGCCTGCCGCCTGCTTGCAGCAGCGGCTGTTCCAGAGAACTCGAAGCCTCTTATTCTCAAATGCCAAGCTGAGGAAATAAAAATTAACACTGCACACGGAGCGGAGCCCAGCAGTGAGATGGGAAGCCGGTGCTGTAACGTGAATCTCTTTGCTCCTGCTGTGGACAGCACAGATACTTGTGAAAGAAGATATCTTTGGCTCCCATACAGAGATCAAGAGCTGAGATTAATGGCAACTGTGAGGGCTGCCTTCCCCTTTATGCGACGCATGCTTTAAAGCTGTGGCCTCCTGCCATCTTGAAACATAATCTTGTGGTATTGTCTTCATTCAGGCCCCTCATCAGCAATGTGAAAAGAGAGAAGAAGCCGGTGGCAGGATTAGAGGAGAGGTTGAAATATTCTGGGCAGCATATGCTACAAGGCGCATTGTACAAAGGGTGTCATTGGACTGCTCACTGGTTAGGGCTTTCTCTTCTGGAAACGTTGGTGCTGGTAAAAAAACAACCCGGTGAAAAGCTTTTATAACACACCAGACCACAGCATGAGCACAGGGATGAGCACTGAAAATATTTTTCAGGCCCTGCCTGCCCTGCTCCTACAAGCTCCCTTTGTGCTCGTCAGGGTTATGTAAGATGCATAGGAGGAGAGGAGAAAGAGAAGTAAGAATAATAATTCAGAAGGATATTAATAAACATCCTAAAATTTCTGTCATCTGATGACCCATCTCAACCTTAAAACTGAGTACTTTAGTCTTGGAAGGCTGTTTCAGACCCTCATTGTTTTAGAAGTGAGAAACCACCTTTAGTTGTCCAGTTTAAATTTATTCATGGCAAATTATACCCATGTGTTTTTAGACTACCAATATTCTCAACTGAAACAGATTATTTTCCTTGCCTGGTCCTAATGTACTTACAGAAAGCAGTCATATTGTCTCTGAGACTTCAACTTATTTCACTAAATAAGCCAAGCTTCTTTAGACTCCTTTGTCATCTCTTGTTATTCTCTTGGTCACCTTCGTAGTTCTCTGCACTAGTTCCAGTTTACAGTCACCTTTCTTGACCATGACCAGACCATACCAGCCCAGATCATGACTGACAAGGCTTATACACAGGGTTCCACATGAATTAAACTCTATTTCTTCTGCTATTTTTTTTTCCTGAAAATAAGCTCCTCTTTGTCCAATACATACATACAATACATCTTTGTCCAATAAATACATACAATAATGGAAAACAAGCTACCGTGAATTCCCCATCTCTAAAAGCTACTTAGGAAGTTCTAAATGTTCAGAATGAGTCTTCCCTGGAAATCCTCTGCTGTATAAGATTTCCACAATTGAAACAAATTCTGAAGTCTGGAACAATAAAAATTCACAAGGGCAACTGCCCTTGAGTGTCAAGCTCAGTCTTGGTGGCATGTTTTAAAAATCTTCAGCTTTCATCAAACTGGCTTCAAACACAAGTTATTATTGCTTTGGCTCTTGACACTATCCCTGTGGTCAGACATTTTTCTTGTCATGTAAGAAACCCTTTTCCTCTTTTGGATCAAAAAGCAGTACGTGGTCTTGTCTACAACTTGGAGCACGTTAACAATTTTTCACAGTTTTCTTTTCAACTCCCTGGACACACAGCATCACTTACACATTTCATTACAAACATCATCCTAAGTAGCAGCAATACACATGATTATGTCTTGCCTCAAGCCCTTTATGTTAACCAGAAAGCTAAAAAGCTGTAAAAGGCTTCATATTTTGCCATATGGAGTGGAAAGAATTTCTTCTCAGGAGCTGGGGCGGGGCTAGAGAACACATACAATTAAAGATTTCTTTTACACTGTCATGCAAAAGTGCAGCAGGGTATTTCTAAGTAGAAACATAATTCTAAAAGGGATCTCAATGTTTAAAAAAAGATACAGATTTACTGAATTAAGCTATTCTCTGAACTATCGTCTTTCCCTCAGTTTATAGATTTAGATACATTCAATTCTCATCCTCCTAAATCAAACACTTCTTCCCTGAACCATAATGTCAGACTACAGAAAGTGCAGGATTCTGTTTCACGAATGTGTGGGTTTCCCAGTCACTGGCTGAGGTGTGCTGGCTCGCACCTCTTTCCCTTCCCCTGTGGAACTGCTGTGAATGAGTCGGCTCCCCTCTTCACCTAAGCTCTTCCACTCTTTAAAAGGGGGTAATTATTTATCTCACAAAAGCATGCAGCAAATTCAGATCTAAACATGGCTCTGAGCTGGCATAAGCTTAAAAAGATACAAGTGAACCCCGTTTAGTCACTGCAATTTTGAGCAAAAAGAAAGGTATCAATTAATTTTCTAAGGGCAAGTACAGTGCTACTGCAAGAAAGCTGCACACTACAATTGTACTGAAAGACCTTCTCTTCATACATGTCTCATCCAAGGAAACTGAGGTGGCTACTAATCTGAGTCACATTTAAAGCAAAAAGCAGGAACTGATAGCTTCTGAGCTGTGCCTGCAAAATATTTACTGCTACATTGGAAGGCTATAATTCTCTCTGATACCAGAGCAACTACATATTGTGCTAAAATCTTGCTAGGATTTCCTCCATAAAATAATAAACTCTGACACAAACAGTACTTAAGCATCACCACAGGGATAGAGCAAAACCACAGACACAAGCTGAAGAGCAAGAGCGGAAATTTGAATGGAAATACCTTGCTGTGCTAATATAGCCTGACCTAACATTTTAAGAAGTCATCCAACAGCCTTCATTAGAAGAACAAACAGGGTCACTCAGATTTTGCTCCATTTGACTCAGAGATTCCTCAATACTTGTAAACCCTCCATATAATCAGACACAATGATTAGAGGGCACAGTTTTAATTATGTGTATTAAT